GGGATGTACAAATTCGTGAGTATTATAGTTTGTCCTGGATTTGGTTTGACCATGTCTGGAGCCTACATTAAGCTTAGAGAATTAGGCGGCGGCGCCTTCGAGGATGCGTCGGGTGGGATAAAGCACTAGGGCTAAAAATTTTGGATGGGGGAGGAGGCCGTCTATCGGTCCTTTTCAGGGCTAGGAGGAGGACCGTGGTCCAATTCTCAGAATTTTGCTGTGGGGGGAAACGAAGTAAATAAACAAATTAGGCCTTATATTGTAGTAGAATGTAAGCATTTTTGTTGGTTTTAGTGTATACTTCTTTAATCATTACTAATAACCTAAAATACTATGGCTGTTTGGATAATATGTGACATACCGCTAAAATTTAATATACATTATTCATAGAACTAACTGGTTATTTATATATTAAATGGTTATTCATATATTTCTGAATTTACTTTCCTCGCGCAATCTGAACTTCATGAAGAAGAGATGACGTGCAGGCCTAATTCATTCTTTGATTCGCTACTTCTGCTGCAGTAGACTAGTTTCGCTTACTTCCAGCTCATCAGTGTTGCTTGGTTACCAGTGATGAGTAAAGTACTATATATCAAAACTAACCAAAATGCTTACATATAAAAACAAAAACTGTGACGATATGTAACATGTTATCCAAACACCTAAAGTATATTAGGTTGTTAGTGGTGAGTGAGTGACTGATTTATTCATCAAAACCAAACAGTCGACAGTACATTAACGTAGGACCGTTACTTTGAACTTACCAGGTCAATTCTTGGAGGAGGGCACGTCTTGATTACGTCACGACTTGGGCAAATGTCACGAAACTTGCATGAGTCACCACACCAGACACATTTGTACCTGGGGTCGCGGGTCAAGCACAGAGAGCAGTCCAGATGGTTCCCGTGTTCAGTAAGTAGGTTACATTTGTACAACGTCACTGCGAAAACAAAGTACTTAGGCCTTTTTTTTCCTACTTCTTCTTGCAATCTCTAGAAACTTTTATATTGAACAGAAATGGTACACACCTTAAAAAGTTCTAAAAAATAGGCGTTTAATGTAGATGGTCAAACTTATCATGAACATATTTTGTAAATATTAATAACGTATTTATTAGTCGAAAATAAATGTTGGGAAATATGTAACGTTGGTGAGGATTTAGATTTAAAGAACTACTCGCCTGTTTTAGATAAGGACAACGTTTTCCTAGAAACAGACAGGAGCAGTCAAATCTCAAATATGTCTACACTGCGTAAAATACCCTTGAAACAATATCTCCTGCAGTGTTATATCAGTTTGATAAACGTTAGGAAACAATTAAGGTTATATGGCATTCATTAATTTACAAAATGTAAAGAAACAACTGATGTTACATAACATTCATGACTTCACTAAATGTTACATTCGTGTATTACTTCTACCAGAAGAGCACGAAAAATCGACAGTAACAACTGACAATAAATAGTCTTAATTATGAATAAAAGGCAAATTAGAAAAAGGTCTTATGGCCACTCTGCGTCAATTAGGTATCCTCGCTACTAACGAGGTTGGGCATGAGCGTCAGCAGAAATTTGTCCAAGGGCGGGGGGCAAAATAGCGTGAAATCGTGAACTGAATAAAAAAATTCATATACATGTGCTGAATGAATAAAGTTTCTCATTTTCCAGGGGGAAAGTGCCCCCTCTTGCCCCCATAACCTTTCAACTACAACTGCAGATCAGTAGGAATTAGCTTTACCCACAACATCTGGAGAATAGTGCATGTTAGCAGAAACCTTTTTTTTGTATTTAATCGACGTCACTCATATCTAATCGACGTCACTCACATTTAATCGACGTCACTCATATTTAATCGACGTCACTCACACTTGATGACTATGCTCATTATCTTGCAGCTGAATATTAATCTGCTATCTCTGTAAACGACCACGAGATATGAACTATAAATCCGATCCAATAGAATTAAGTAGATGTGTAATTTGACTAACTTTTGAGCTACAAATTGTACACCCAGCTCTGCCCTTGATGAAAATCCATTAGATCTAGTGAAAGTCTATAAGTAAAAGTGAACTCTCAGTCCATAACGGCCTTTCTTTTTGAAGCTCTTGTGATGTACTTTAAATGTATTACCTTAAAAGTTTTGCAGGTTATTTTAAGTCTTTTTTTTTTTCTTGAAAACGTGGAAAATACGCGTAATTGGTTGAAAATGAACAAAATCTATACAAGGATTTTCAGTAGCGTTCATTCTCCAAGAAAATTATTGTAAGACAAGGAAAGAGAGGTGTTGCAGTCGAGTCGAGAAACTTGACGGAAATGGCAAAGCGGTTGCGTCACTTGTTCTTCAAGGTAGCCCATTTCACAGTAGAGATGTGGTGAAGATTTCTACTGTCTGAATTTGGTACATTTAATGCATTAAATTTATTAATAATATTGAATTCTGATTCAACGGAAAACTATATTGTAATATAAAAAGTAAGATATATCCTAAAGAATATTACAGTTATGAAATACTTCTCTAATTCAGGATTAAGCGCTTATTCTAGCCCTAGTATAAACCGGAAATTAAATGGTATGAATCAGAAAAGAGCGGGAAACTTAAACAGCAGCAATATCGTTATTCTCCACATTGTAACAAGCCAAAATGTTGAAAATATTATTTACAGTTTTTGATTTGTAGAATGTTGTTTATGCTGTGATTTTTGTTCCAACTCAACTATTTAGAATAGCTATTACACTAATGATAAAAAAAAGTTAATTTTTAACATATGGGAAAGATTGGTATAAATTTGGTTTGCTTTTAAACTACTAAGTTAGCATGTTAAGTTTGGTCTGGATCTGTCAACTCGTTTACGATAAGATGCGTCGACAGACAGACAGAAAGTTTTCCTTGATATTGTATGGTTTGATATGAATAGCGTATATGTGAAGAACGTTGGTACCTCAATTTCTATACTCATCCCTACCTTGCTTCGTTTACCAGGGCTGAAAAAAAACCTCTTTATATCACTAGATATCTTGAGTTTATACACCACCTTTTCCTCTCATTTAAACCGTCAGAAGTGGTCAAAGTAACATTTTGTGCACGATTATTTGAGACGTTTGCTTACCTGTTGTTCTGTCTATAAGATACACTCCACGCCAAACTACTGCCAGGTCAACTTTTAGTTTTCCAGTCTGGGCTTTGTATGTATACTAAAGAGAGAGAAAAAACAGTACCGATTGGTGTAATATACTTCCACAAAACAGTACCTATTGGTGTAATATACTTCTACAAAAACAGTACCTATTGGTGTAATATACTTCTACAAAAACAGTACCTATTGGTGTAATATACTTCTACAAAAACAGTACTTATTGGTGTAATATACCTCTACAAAAAATTATTGATTTGGATAATATACCGCTACAAAAACTGTAGCGATTGGGGTAGCATACCTCTATAAAAACTGTACCGATTGGGGTAATATACCTCTATAAAAACTGTAACGATTGGGGTAGTATGCCTCTATAAAACTGTAACGATTGGGGTAGTATACCTCTATAAAAACTGTATTAATTGGGGTAGTATATCTCTATAAAAACTGTATCAATTGGGGTAGTATATCTCTATAAAAACTGTATCAATTGGGGTAGTATGCCTCTGTAAAAACTGTATCAATTGGGGTAGTATATCTCTATAAAAACTGTATCAATTGGGGTAGTATATCCTCTATAAAAACTGTATCATTGGGGTAGTATGCCTCTATAAAAACTGTAACGATTGGGGTAGTATATCTCTATAAAAATTGTACCGATTGGGGTAGTATATCTCTATAAAAACTGTACCGATTGGGGTAGTATGCCTCTATAAAAACTGTACCGATTGGGGTAGTATGCCTCTATAAAAACTGTAACGATTGGGGTAGTATACCTCTATAAAAACTGTACCGATTGGGGTAGTATATCTCTATAAAAACTGTACCGATTGGGGTAGTATATCTCTATAAAAACTGTACCGATTGGGGTAGTATACCTCTATAAAAACTGTATCAATTTGGGTAGTATATCTCTATAAAAACTGTACCGATTGGGGTAGTATACCTCTATAAAAACTGTATCAATTGGGGTAGTATGCCTCTATAAGAACTGTACCGATTGGGGTAGTATGCCTCTATAAAAACTGTACCGATTGGGGTAGTATGCCTCTATAAAAACTGTAACGATTGGGGTAGTATACCTCTATAAATACTGTACCGATTGGGGTAGTATGCCTCTATAAAAACTGTACCGATTGGGGTAGTATGCCTCTATAAAAACTGTATCAATTGGGGTAGTATGCCTCTGTAAAAACTGTACCGATTGGGGTAGTAAGCCTCTATAAAAACTGTACCGATTGGGGTAGTATATCTCTGTAAAAACTGTAACGATTGGGGTAGTATACCTCTATAAAAACTGTAATGATTGGGGTAGTATATCTCTGTAAAAACTGTAACGATTGGGTAGTATATCTCTGTAAAAACTGTACCGATTGGGGTAGTATATCTGTACAACACCAATATAGATTAGGAACGGTCAGTGCATATAGCTTCCTAATAGCTTTGTGCAAATATCATAAAAACCAACAAACCTAAAACTATTAACACAGAAGTTCAGTTTCTGGTGTTTATTATAAAAATATAAGGAGGGTCGCTGACAGAAAATAACTAACCCTGTGCATGGGGCCGGCTATAAGGATGTGGGGGGGGGATCCCCCAACCCTCTGAGGTTACAGAGAAAGTTGTTTATTTCCTAACCTTTACTTCTTCTCGTCGTTGTCTTTATTTCTAGTTGAAAATATTTCTTGGGGGTGGGGAGCTTTCACACATGCATATTGTGCGTAAAATATCGCATTAAGATCATATTTTAACTTGGCATTGAAATGCGTACGCCTAAAATTGGATACAGCGCTAGGATAAAAAGTTAAGAAAAGAAAAAAAAACACGTATGGAATGGAGGTCGCAGTAGCTTACAAATATGATGTTGTTAAAATGTTGAGTGAGTAAAAACAAAGCAGCAACAACAACTTACCACCGTCTTTGAACAGAAAATTCGGCTGCCAACAACTCGCGCTTCAACTACTTTTCTTTCACCTTCTGTTTCAATAACACACTGGATGTCGTTCTAAGGGAAGACAAAAACACATCGTTGTTGACTTCAAAAGGAATGACATTCTTAGTTACTCCTGAGCAGTAACTTGTAACAGACAAAAGACAGACCTAAAATGTTGTTCTTACCTATCTCTCATTTGAAAATAGAAAGTTGAGAAATGTAAAAAAAACACAAAAAAATAAGCAGTTTAACGTGATATTTATCACCAGTACTGAAGTTCGTTAGAAAAATGAATATATCAGTGTTTGAGGATTTTCTTAGTGTGATGTTTAACACTGTATAACACAGATTTGATTAAAACTAAAGGATGTTTTACAAAACATCCTTTAGTTTTGAACGAATATTTGGTTGTTTTCACTATGCAACGTTTGTTGCCTAGAGCTAGGCATAACTGGTTGTTTCAACCAATCACGTTTTATTGTTCCAATTCGCCGCGTTTGATTATTTCAACTAGGCACTATTGTTTTATTTCCATTAGACAAGTTTGGTTGTTTTCTGACGTCTTTATACTATGAAATGTCTGGTAAACATACTCAGACCCAGTTTGTGAAAAAAAAACAAAAAAACATTTCATTATCAATAATATTTTCCCCTATCTGTTGGAAATATTTGTTCTCCCCTTTCTTGGGTGGGTGGAACCGTTTTACACACACTCACAAAAAATGTGTACCAAAAATCATAGCCCTGAAGATTGTCTTTTTAATTGCCCTCCAGTGGCAAAGCTGTATGTCTTCGGACTTACAAACGGTAGAAACTGGGTTTCGATACCCGTGGTGGGTAGAACACAGATAGCCCATTGTGTAGATTTGTTCTTAATTACAATTTTTTAATTATTCTGTTTATTATAAGCTAAACTTTTTGTCTATAAATTATTTTTATTATTTAAATGTTTACGTTATAATAATCAAACTGATTGCCATATTGATTTCCAGCCTTTAACATATAATTACAAAAGTATTGTCCCACAGTGGCACAGCGGTATGTCCGCGGATTTATATCGCAAGTATTGTCTCCCAGTGGCACAGCGGTGTGTGTCCGCGGATTTATATCGCTAGGCCCGGCATGGCCTGTTGGTTAGGGCGCTTGACTCGCAAGCTGAGGGTCGCGGGTTCGAATCCCCGTCCCACCAAACATGCTCGCCCTTTCAGCCGTGGGGGCGTTATAATGTGATGGTCAATCCCACTGTTCGTTGGTAAAAGAGTAGCCCAAGAGTTGGCGGTGGGTGGTGATGACTAGCTGCCTTCCCTCTAGTCTTACACTGCTAAATTAGGGATGGTTAGCGCAGATAGCCCTCGTGTAGCTTTGTGCGAAATTCAAAAACAAACAATTTATATCGCTAGAAACCGGGTTTCGAAACCCGTGGTGGGCAGCGCACAGATAGCACCTTGAAAATATAGGTTTTCATAACATACTTGTTTTAAATGTCCACATATTATCCTACTAAATACTTTAGTTTTTTAGGGTTTTGCTCGGTGATTTTAGGTATAAGTTGTTGATAAATCTTCGAAGTAACATAATTCTCATTTATTAGAACAATTTGATGTGTGTATAAGGATACCCCCCCCCCTCCAGTGGCACAGCGGTATGTTTTTGATTTTTGATGTTGTTTGTTATTAAGCACAAAGCTACACAGTGGGCTATCTATGCTCTGCCCACAACGAGTATCGAAACCCGGTTTCTAGCATTGTAAGTCCGCAGACATACCGCTGAGCCACTGGGGGGCTTCAAAAATCTCTCAATGGAACATGTAGTTGCATTTCAACAACTTTTAATTTTTCTCCGTAGTATGCTCTCACAAATACACCAAAGTTACTCAATACCGTTAAAAAAAACGTTTATGTAAAATATAAAAGGTTTTAACTGTGAAACATGTCGTATTAGTTAAAATATATAAATAAAACTTTTCCTACCGAATTTTATTGCACAGACTTACCATGAACAATGGAAGATGTTTAACGTCAAGTTCAATTCGTCGATTTTCTCCGTCAGATAGCAAGATTTCGCTCTTCAGGTTTAATCTTGGACATCTGTGAAGGTCACGTCTTTCGGTGAGTTCGGGATCCTGCGATTTAGAATCACTTTGTTGAACAGTTTACAAACTTGGTTTTAAATGAATAATTGCAAGCCTACGATAGCAATCCTCCAGATCTGATGTTTTTACGACTGGATCAAAAAATTTTAGTAAGAAAACAAAATAATTTTGTTATTGTTATTGTGTATACGTATGTATTTAATTATTGGTAAAAAAAAATATCAGTAGCTCCTTGTGTTTCTATAATAATTTGTCTATATTTACTTACGTGAGCCTCTATCTTCACAACGGCGCCCTGGCAGGAGCTGGTGTTACGAATACACTCATTCTGGTAAAGGCACCATTTGCATTTCCAGGCACCACTCACACACCCGGAGCATCTGGAGAGAGATAACAAAAGGTTAATCACACACCCGGAGCATCTGGAGAGAGATAACAAAAGGTTAATCACACACCCGGAGCATCTAGAGAGAGATAACAAAAGGTTAATAATACACCCGGAGCATCTGAAGAGAGAGATAACAAAAGGTTAATAATACACCCGGAGCATCTGAAGAGAGAGATAACAAAAGGTTAATCACACTCCCGGAGCACCTGGAGAGAGATAACAAAAGGTTAATCACACACCCGGAGCACCTGGAGAGGGAGTTAACAAAAGGTTAATCACACACCCGGAGCACCTGGAGAGAGAGTTAACAAAAGGTTAATCACACACCCGGAGAGAGATAACAAAAGGTTAATCACACACCCGGAGCACCTGGAGAGATATAACAAAAGGTTAATCACACACCCGGAGCACCTGGAGAGAGATAACAAAAGGTTAATCGCATTCCCAGAACAGCTGGAAAGGGATTGGGATAACAAAAGGCTAGTACAAACTCGGAGCATCTGGAGGGAGATAATAAAAGGTTAATTCGATTATAGAGCGCGATCTATCTTCTGCTGATTAGCACCGTTCATGTTCTAGTTGATATTAAGAAACGGAACTCTTAAAACTCTTCAAGTCTTTCAAGAAGTCATTTATTTCAAAACTTTCATCTCTGACAATTCCTTGTTGTACACATTGTTTAAAACTTATTATGTTACTTAATAATTAAAAACAAAACAAATACGGCCTTCACCAACTTTTACATAATATCATATCAGGTGCTTTAGACCAATATTAACCGTCCGTTAAACATCAGACTTTAGGTTAGGTGCAGTTAACAGAAGTATAACTGAATCTAGAACAAAACTTCTGAGTAAAATCTGCCCCCAGTAAACTACTCAATTAGAGGGTGGAGCTTGTTAGTACTGGTGTACTTCATCGTCAACTGAAAATCGTAACCTGGCTTCTAATCGTTTAACTGACCACCACACTATAACAATGAAGGAGGCGTGATTTATATCATACAACTGGGAAATCTTTATTTCTACAACTATATGTTTTAGGCTTATAAACAATGTACTTTATTCTAACCTTAAGTGTACTAAGTATCAAATTTGTCCCCCTAAATATTTGATTATAAAAGACAGATTTTTCATTTAGACTGAATATATTTCCTGTTTCATAAAAACCAAAAATTATAGCTCTGTATGATTATCATAATTACTTCCTTTTTTTATATGCATATCTAATTAACCCCCTTCAAAACTAATAAAATGTATCTAGCCCGAATCGACGGTACATTAGCTCAGGTACGGATTATCACTCACGTTTTATGGACGCTACAGTCATAAAACTTGAATGGAATGTGAAGAAAATCTGTATTGGTTTCACTGGAACGCATTGCAAGATCCACAGTAACGTGATCTGAACAGATAGAGAGAGAGTTATATAACAAAACAATACTAACTTCATACTTTAAACAGGGAAACATTGTTATACTAAAACAATACTAACTGTATACTTTAAACAGGGAAACTCTGTTGTACTAAAACAATACTAACTTTAGACTTTTAAAGAGAGAAACTCTGTTATACTAAAACAATACTAACTTGAGACTTTAAACAGGGAAACTCTGTTATACTAAAACAATACTAACTTTAGACTTTAAAGAGAGAAACTCTGTTATAATAAAACAATACTAACTTTAGACTTTAAACAGGGAAACTCTGTTATACTAAAACAATACTAACTTTAGAGTTTAAACAAAGAAACGTAGTTATACTAAAACAATACTAACTTCATACTTTAAACACAGAAACAGAGAAACTTTCTTGTACCAAAACAATACTAACTTTAGACTTTAAACAGGGAACTTACTTATACTAAAACAATACTAACTTCATACTTTAAACAGAGAAACTTAGTTATACTAAAACAAGACTAACTTCATACTTTAAACAGAGAAACTTAGTTATACTAAAACAATACTAACTTCATACTTTAAACAGAGAAACTTTCTTGTACTAAAACAATACTAACTTTAGACTTTAAACAGGGAAACTCTGTTATACTAAAACAATACTAATATTAGACTTTAAACACAGAAAAAGATAAACTCTGTTATACTAAAACAATACTAACTTCATACTTTAAACACAGAAACAGAGAAACTTTCTTGTACTAAAACAATACTAACTTTAGACTTTAAACAGGGAACTCTGTTATACTAAAACAATATTAACTTTAGACTTTAAAGAGAGAAACTCTGTTATACTAAAGCAATACTAACTTTAGCCTTGAAAAATAGAGAAACTGTTATACTAAGACAATACTAACTGTATACTTTAAACAGGGAAACTCTGTTATACTAAAACAATACTAACTTTAGAGAAACGTTGTTATACTAAAACAATACTAACTTTAGACTTGAAACAGAGAAACTCTGTTATAATAAAACAATACTAAGTTCAGACTTCAAACAGAGAAACTATGTTATACTAAAACAATACTAAGTTCAGACTTTAAACAGAGAAACTTAGTTATACTAAAACAATACTAACTGTAAACTTTAAACAGAGAAACTTAGTTATACTAAAACAATACTAACTGTAAACTTTAAACAGAGAAACTCTGTTATAATAAAACAATACTAACTGTAAACTTCAGAGAAACTCTGTTATAATAAAACAATACTAACTGTAAACTTCAGAGAAACTCTGTTATAATAAAACAATACTAACTGTAGACTTTAAACAGAGAAACTCTGTTATACTAAAACAATACTAAGTTCAGACTTTAAACAGAGAAACTGTGTTATACTAAAACAATACTGACTGTAGACTTTAAACAGAGAAACTCTGTTATACTAAAACATAACTAACTGTAGACTTTAAACAGAAAACTCAGTTGTACTAAAACAATACTAACTTTAGACTTTAAACAGGGAATTCTGTTATACTAAAACAATACTGACTGTAGACTTTAAACAGAGAAACTCTGTTATAATAAAACAATACTAAGTTCAGACTTTAAACAGAGAAACTCTGTTATACTAAAACATAACTAACTGTAGACTTTACACAGAAAAACTCAGATGCACTAAAACAATACTAACTTTAGACTTTAAACAGAGAAACTTAGCTATACTAAAACAATACTAACTGTAGCCTTTAAACAGAGAAACTTAGTTATACTAAAACTAAAACAACTTCAGACTTTAATTTAAACAGAGAAACTTAGTTATACTAAAACAAAAACAACTTCAGACTTTAATTTAAACAGAGAAACTTAGTTATACTATACCATTAACTTACCATTTCCGTGTGGAATTGAAGGACGTTCCTTTAACAGAGGTGTCCTACAGGAAAGACCAGATTCTATGCTATTGGCGGTGGTGGGTGTGCTGTTCCCAAACACGCACAAATAATGTGCATCGTTAGGGAGTTTCGGAAGTTGGTTGATAACCAGTTTAATCTATTTGTAGTAAACATACATGTGACAAAGAACTACAGTACTTCAACATAAGCATTATTAAAACAAAATGGAATTTAAGTATTATTAAGATTTTCCATATGTTCATACACTATATCTGAACGTAGCAGGGCCATCGTGCACGTTGTTTACTCATATATATATATATCACTTAAGAAGGACATTGTGCGAGTTGTATACTGATATCTGTGTGTGTCTATATATATCTAAACTTAAGCAGGACATTGTGCGCGTTGTACACTGATATCTGTGTGTGTGTCAATTATCAGTGTACAACGCGCACAATGTCCTGCTTAAGTTTAGATATATATAGACACACACACACACAGATATCAGTGTACAATGCGCACAATGTCCTGCTTACGTTTAGATATATAGACACACGCAGAAATATCAGTGTACAACGCGCACAATGTCCTGCTTAAGTTTAGATATATATATAGACACACACACACATAGATATCAGTGTACAACGCGCACAATGTCCTGCTTAAGTTTAGATATATATATCAGTTTAAGAAACGATACTTATTGTTTAACATCTCAACTCCTAAAGTTGGTGTTTTATGTTCAAGCACTAACTTTGACTGTTTAAAAGATCATTTTTAAACAATGATTCAAGTAAATTTCCTCACGTAATGTATGTAATGCAATGTATCAATTTTCGCTTTAAACAATAGAGTGTACAACTCGCACAATGTCCTGCTTACGTTTAGATATATAGACACACGCAGAAATATCAGTGTACAACGCACACAATGTCCTGCTTACGTTTAGGTATATATATAGACACACACACACATAGATATCAGTGTACAACGCGCACAATGTCCTGCTTAAGTTTAGATGTATATAAAACACACACAGATATCAGTGTACAACGCGCACAATGTTCTGCTTACGTTTAGATATATAGACACACGCAGAAAGGTGGAATGGTTAAAACGTTATATTCTCAACAGTAAAAGTTAGTGCACGAACTTACACATTAACCGTAGGAGTTAATGTGTTAACCTACAAGCTACTTTTCTAGTATGAAGTGGAATGGTTAAAACGTAATTTCGATAAAGTTAGTGCAGAAACCTCAACATTAATTGTAGGAGTTAATGTGTTAAACTACAAACCACGTTGGTTTCTAGTCTGATGCGGATTGGTTGAAAACTGACCTCAACCATGGCATCCAAAGGAATCGTGTCCGGATCTACAGACTGGACATCTATACACTTTTGAGTGTCCATAGATAACCATCGAGTTGACCTATATCCGTGAGTTCCCGTGGCGTTTTGACATTCCATCTTCACCGTACACCTGTATTACAAGAAAAAAAAACGTATGTTTGTATTTGTGGCAAGGCTACTATGGCCATTTGTCACCGTCCCTAACTTTGAACCACTGACCGGGAGGGAAGATTTGTCACCGTCCTTAACTTTGAACCACTGACCGGGAGGGAAGATTTGTCACCGTCCCTAACTTTGAACCATTGACCGGGAGGGAAGATTTGTCACCGTCCCTAACTTTGAACGACTGACCGGGAGGGAAGATTTGTCACCGTCCCTAACTTTGAACCA